TTGTAGTATTTCTCTGGTTGAAATTCTTGGGAACATTTTGAAAATAGGAAAGATACAAAGAGTGGCAGGCTGAAGAGCTAAGTGATGAAACAAGACAAAACCCTAGATTAGTTTTCGGATAGTTTAATTTTTTTTTGTTGGGCCAATTAGTTGGGTGGGATACTTGGAATTTTGGGCCAATTAGCCTTTGGATACTTGGGGTATTTAATAATAGAAAATTTTACCTGCCATAGCTAAATATAAGATCTATTTATGGATGCAAAGTGCCTTTTAATTTAATTACTTTTCATAGCTACAAAGAATTTTCAATTACCAATCATAGCTATTCTAAATACATAGATTTATTCCACTGTATCAATCTTTTTTCTCAACCCTCTCTCTCTCTCTTCTCCCTCAACTATCTCTCATTTTCCCCCTTTCTTCGTCCCCGGTTAGGATGTTATCCAACTCCGCCGTCGTAGGTCATATTCTCCGGCAAAGCTCTACGAAGCCCAACCAAACAGTCGCATCTCTCTCTCTCTCTCTCTCTCTTCCCTTCTCTCATCTCCACCATTAGATCTAGCCGTCTCTCACCATCTCTTCCCTACTCCCATCTCCATCGTCAGATCCAGATCCAAAAATCATGAAGTATGCCAAGATTTTAGACTTGATGGCCGTTCGAGGTTGATACTCGATATTGTACTCGCTGATATCGATGTCCTAATGCATGTTTTACCTCAGACTAGGCCTTCTCTTTTGTTTTATAGGGCGGAACCTCGGGTACAAGCTTAGTCGATGCGTAATGATCTCTGGTGGAATCCCTGTCATATATAGGTGGGACCAAGAAAAATAATCCATGCTATATAAAAGGAATTGAACGAATTTTTTCCTAAGCTTGGGGGTTAACCCCGTGCCCAGGTATATCTTTCGATCAGGCAGATGGTCGATTAGTATGATTTGTTCCAACTCTTTGACCATTGTCTTTGTTATATCAGAATCGTCGGGGATTATGAAGGTTTGAGGTATCATATAATCATCATCCTCGAAGGTTTCCCGCTCCTCCAATCGGGCCGAGGCTGGTGACTGTGGTTGCTATTTGAATTCTTGCTTTCCCTTTGATTCCGATTTCTTTGTTGATGAAGTCATCAATACCGGTATTACTTTATCGATTGCAAACATTTCTGTAGCGGCGGGTTGTTCGCCGTACACCGTTTTGATTCCTTCTGATGTTGGGAACTTCAGGACTTGATAAAGTGTCGAGGGAACTACCCTCATGTTATGGATCCAAGGCCTCCCGAGCAACGCGTTGTACCTTATGTCGCCTTTGATCACATGGAACTTTATTTTTTGGATGGTCCCTGCCACATTTATCGGCAAAGGTGATTTCCCCTTTGGTGGTCTCACTTGCCATGTTGAAACCGTTAAACACCTGAGCTGCGAGCATGATTTCATTTTGGAGGCCGAGTTGCTCTACGACCCTTGATCGAATAATATTTGCCGAGCTACCTAGATCAATCAAGACACGTTTAACTTGAATTTTATTCATAAGGATAGATATTACCAGTGCGCCATTGTGAGGTTGTTCGATCCCTTCTGTATCCTCGTCGTTGAAAGACAAGGTTTCTTCTGGAAAGTAGTCCTAAATTCGCTTCTCCCTCGTGATTGTCACCTTGGTGCGTTTAAATACTGGTCCTTAAGGGATATCGACCCTACCAACGATCATGTGAATTACATGCCAAGGCTCTTCCTGCTCATTCTATCTATTTGAATCTCTATTTTTAAAGTGGTTCTTGGCTCGATCACTTAGGAATTCTCGAAGGTGACCTTCGTTGAATAAACGAGCTACCTCCTCCCTCAGTTGTCTGCAATCTTTGGTTTTGTGACCATAGGTACCATAGTATTTGCATATTTGATTCGAGTTCCTTTGAGCTGAGTCGGTCTGCAGGGGACTGGGCCATCTAGTATCCTTGATCCGTCCAATGACTGATACAATATTCGATGCATCGATGCTGAAGGTGTATTCTGATAGTCACGGCACTTCCGTGGACTCAACATATTTATCGAAGCCACTTTTACTCATGAGCCCTTGGGAGCTCTGTCCTCGATCATTCCTTCGATCATTTCGAACGGAGTTACGTCCTAGGCCTCTACTTCTACAATCTGTACTGTATGGTTGGTACCGATCTTTGTTCAATCGGGGTTCTATGTTGATGTCCCTTTGAATTCTGCCGATGGGCCGATTTAGGTAAATGGAACCGGAATGGGTTCCTAATTAATCATCCTCGACCCTGATCTTCGACTGGTATATGTATATCGGCCCAGGTTACAACTGGATATCTAATTAGATTCTGCTTTAGTTGTCGTGATGCTATCGAACTTCGTTCGTTCAAACCTTGAGTGAAAGCTTGAACAACCCAATCATCTGTGACCGGGGGTAGGTCCATGCGTTCCATCTGGAACCGTGATATGAATTCCCTTAGAATTTCGTTGTCCTTTTGTCTCACTTTGAAGAGGTCCGACTTCCAAGTTGCAAGCTTTATTACTCCGGCGTATGCCTTTACGAACAAATTTGCAAGCATAGCAAAGGAATCGATAGAATTGGGTGGCAGATTGTGGTACCATATCATCGCTTCTTTCGATAAAATATCTCCAAACTTTTTCAATAAAACGGATTCAATCTCATCATCTTCTGAGTCATTCCTCTTTATTGCGCATGTATAAGAAGTAACATGCTCATTAGGGTTAGTGGTCCCATTGTATTTGGGAATTTCTGGCATGCAGAATTTTTTCGGAATGAGCTTCGGAGCTGCACTTGGAGGGAAAGGCTTCTGCACGAACTTCTTCGAATCCAAACCCTTTAGAATCAGTGGTGCCCCCGGTATTTGATCAACCCGAGAGTTGTATGTTTTTACCTTTTTATCATTTGCCTCGATTTTCTTTTCTCCCGATTCAATCTGTTTAGTGAGCTTCACGATCATCTTCATAATGGCGAGGTCAGTCCCCGATTCAATGGCGTTTGATTTCTCCGGTACAGGTTCGGCTCTTTGAACAACTTCTTGTGATGTCTCGAGCTTAATTCTACTTGGTGCTCGATTCTGATTTTGGAGTTGCTCTATCGCAACTTGTTGAGTCTGTAACATTTCGAATATCATTCGAAGGCTAATTTCACCTTTTCACCACTCTGTGCGTTCTGATCGGCTGCTCGAGCATCTCTACAGACGCTATTTTCAGGGTTGACGCCCAAATTCCCATTAATGGCAACATGGGAGCTGACATCGACTGGATCTACGGCGGTGGTCCATCGGGGTTGACTTGAGGTACTCCGTTTTCCTGGGCGACTATGTTTTCATTCTTGCCATGAAGACCAAGGCCGTTGTGTGTGTGAGTGTGTGCTACTTGAGAGTTTGACATGTTGATTCCTGAAATCAAAGACACTTACGAGAACAAGCGTAAAGCAGTGTGTGATATGGGAATTAATACCAGGCAATCACTATTATCCCTAGCCCCATGGTGGGCGCCAAACTGTTTACCCTTAAAATTGGATAACAATTAAACTTATAATGTGATTTTAAGGACACGCGATTTCACCTAATATCAATTGATGAATATGAAGATCAATAATAGAAATTAACAATGAGATAAATCAAACCGGTGTTGAAACGTAATTCAGCCCTCGAGCTTAAGTGCCCTAGAACTGGTCGGTACTCGAATAGTTAGGAAGTAAGAAAATTGATGAACAAGAATATAAGCTAGAGAGAGAGTGTGTGGTATTGCTTTGATATGCGTGAATGTAAAGTGATTACAAAATGATTAGAACCCTCTTTATATTGTAAATGAATCATATCTATGATACAATTCTAATTACGGAAGTAAATCCCATGATTAGCTTAAACAACCACCCTTAATTTGATCTGTTCCGAGATTGCCGCCATGATCTTCGACCAGTCACGAATATCTTGTTTTTCTGTTATTATGCAGTCATCGATCTTGCCCGCTGTTTGTCCCATTTAGCCTCGATCTCAACATGCATCTCGAATCCTGAACTCTATACCCAGTCTTCGTGCCCCGGTGCCCAGTCTTCGAACCTTCACCCCGATCTCGTCAAATCAGTAAAATCGGGTTAGCCCTATACAAAGACTAGGGACCATTTTCTTTAGGATTGAGATGTCTAATCTGAATACTGGAAAATGGAAATGTTGAATGATGACGTTGATTCTCTCTTCCAATCCATATCCGAAAATAAGCAATTCAAACCTCAAAAAATACTCACTATTTAAAATGCAAAAGCTTAGTGGGAATCCAACTATTTCATCCGGTTATATTTATTTGTAACTTTTTAGTTTTGTTCCAAAAAATTTATCATTTTAGAAAACTAAGAAAGAATTAATTATATTTTAAAATTATCCCTACTTCTCCAATAAATATTTGAATTTTGATGATGATAGCGGCATATTCATTATTACATATAATTGTGGACCATATCAAATTACATGCCCAGAATAAATATAAATAAAGTAAAATAAAAAATATGTTTTTTATATTTTCCTAACAATCTTATTTTTACTAGAAAGAAGAAAAAGAGATCGAGAGGCTGGGCCATTTATTCAAATAATCCTATCTATATGACAAGTATATAGGAGTGCTCCTCTACTCTATTTTATAAATCACTGTTTTTTTTTTTTGTTAATTCCAAAAAGAATTAAATTTTATCATATTTCTTACTCTAAATTTTTGTTATTATTTTGTTCACTCATACTCATAGCAATGACATTTCTTAATATTATTAATTCAATTTTTTTTAAAAAAAATATGTGTCAAAACCTTTTTTGCTTAGCTCGGTGTATAATCTAACACCAATACACAAAATGAAAAGGAAAAAGTATCTATTTGTCATAGAATCTTCTCTTGACTAACAAATTTAAAAACAGCAAAAAGAGAAACAAAACAAAAACTTAATCCCTAATCCAAAAGCGCATTGTCACTGAGCTTCAGTCGCACCACACACGTACCCCAGACCTACCAGTGTCAGTCTCAAACCCCCCTAAATTCCAAGAACCTTCCCAAATTACCCACTCACTCTTCAAATACCCCCAGGGTCCTGGCGGCTAGTATTTTATTCTCTCTTATTTGACCAAAAACAATAAAACCAATCCCCATTTGAACCCATCGTCCTTCTTATCCCTTCTTAGGGTTTCAATTTTGATCAATTCTTGAGTTTGATATTTTCAATCTCAAATTCATAGTTTTAGAATACCCATCTAGATATCATTTTTGTGGTTGTAATATTTTTTTGGATTGTTGAAGAGATGAAGATGTTGGAGTTAATTGATTCGGACTCGTTTGCATGTTTTGGGTCGTCGAAGAATGCGTTTCCACCTGGGTTTAGGTTTCATCCGACAGACGAGGAACTTGTACTGTATTACTTGAAGAAGAAGATATGTCGGAAGAGGATTCTGCTGGATGCCATCGCTGAGACTGACGTGTATAAGTGGGATCCTGAGGACTTGCCTGGTATGTATATGATAACTCGTATTTGGGTTTTTGATATGAATTTCAAATTGGGGTTTTGATTTTCTTGGGCCGTTGACTTGAACTGATCATCGTATTGTGTTTGTGTTTTGCTGTGTCTTTTGATCTATACAGTGCTTGCTTTTGTGTTCATTGTTGAGGGCTGTGATTTATCTACGTCTTGTAGTGACTTTTCTCGAGTGTTATTTTGTGATGATTGCATTATCTGGTGCTACAATTTATCTGAATGAGTGAGTGATGGTGGAGCCAGATTTTTCAGTAAGGGAGTTCAAAATATAAAAAAGTGAACGTAGGAAGAAGTCAAGCGGATTCAACATCTTTCTACTATATACATAAAAGATAACTTTTACCTAGTATATATAGTGTAATTTTTCGGCGAATGATGAACCCCCATCAGCCCCTGCCTCTGCCCATGTGTGAATCCTCTATATTTGGTGTGCATTTTTATGCTTATAGGTCTATTGCTGTATAGTTGAGCTCCAGAGGTCCTTGCTTGTTTATTACGGGATCATTTGCTTAGATTATCTTTACTTATCTCAGTTCAGTGGATGCGTGTTTGTGGCCTATATCTTTTACTTGTTTGCTTTTGTTGTTTTTGCGTTTCTGTTTTTTCTCCTTTTTTATTGGAGGGTGGGATTAGCTTCAGCTGCATTTGTTGTGTTAATTATAGTTGAATTTGTATGGATTGAAGGACATATAAGAATGCAGATCTAGTATGATTTAATTCTCCGGAGTTTATCTATGAACGATGTAAACGTGATCATTCTTAATGCTGTTATCTTCCAATTTCCTCCATTTTCTTTGTCTTTTGTACTTTTGTTTGCGTTTTCCTTTTAACTTGCTTCCTTACTTTAGATCTTGTCTTATTCATACTTGTTAGTTGTCTGAAAATTAACTGCTGCTGCTTTGTAATCATATTATGGTAGATATTTTTTAATAAACTGTTTTAATCTTTTGAATAGTCTACTTATGGATTTTGCTAATTTAAACTGCAGATCTGTCTAAATTAAAAACTGGGGACCGGCAGTGGTTCTTCTTTAGCCCCAGAGATCGAAAGTATCCTAACGGAGCACGGTCAAACAGGGCAACAAAGCACGGGTATTGGAAAGCTACGGGAAAGGATCGAATTATTACGTGCAACTCACGTGCTGTTGGAGTTAAGAAGACCCTAGTCTATTATAAAGGCCGAGCACCAGTAGGCGAGCGAACAGACTGGGTGATGCATGAGTATACTATGGATGAAGAAGAGCTGAAAAGGTGTCAGAATGTCCATGACTACTATGCGCTTTACAAGGTCTTTAAGAAAAGTGGGCCTGGTCCTAAGAATAATGAGCAGTATGGTGCACCTTTTAGAGAAGAGGACTGGGTTGATGATGAATGTCCAAGTGCCAAAGCCTCTGTTCGCCCGGTTGATGATGAATGCCCAAGTGCCAAGGCCTCTGTCCGCCAAGACACTTCCGCAAAGCATGTCAACGAAGCTCCTTCTGTAGATGGTGGACTTGAGGAGTTGTTGAACAATACTGCAGATGAGGCTGTGCTTGTTGAGCCACTTTGTGCCGACTATGATTATGCCCTAGAGCAGCTTGTATATGAGGAAGATACTGAAAGTACATTGCTAGATCATTCATCAAGGGAAGTTAATTTTCCCAATCATAGTGCTGTGATTGCCCCAGGCTGCCAGCATTACCATGTGAAGGAAAGCTTTGACCTGACACAGTCAGGCACGTCACAGCTACAGTTGCATGAGGCACCAGAGGTCACATCTGCTCCCGTTAGTTGGGAACAACAGCGGCATGTGGTGGAAGAGGATTTCCTTGAAGATTATCTGGAGATGAATGACCTTCTTGGTCCAGAGCCAAGCATTCAGAACTTTGATAATCCGGAGCTGGGTGTTAAAAACTTTGATGAGGCCGGACCAAGTGGTCAAAACTTTGATAAGCCTGCTGGAAACTTCGAGGATTTGCAATTCGATTACTTGGATGGGTTGACAGAATTTGACTTGTATCATGACACACCCTTTCTTCTTGATGATATTAGAACAACTGATGTGGGGCAAATTACTGAACCATACATGAACAACTTTGTGAATGGTGCTGTAAATCCTGTTTCAACAACGTATTTAAGCACTTTTCAGAATGAAATGGTGAACCATCAGCCAATGTACTTGAATAATGGAGAACAGATTAGCAATCAACTGTGGACACATGATCAAAGGTTTAACATCTATAACCCCAGTGAGGCAAATCAGTTGGTTGTTCCTCCAGCTATATCAGGTATCCAAATGATCCCAAACAGCAATACTGCCACTTTTGCTTGTCTTATGCCGTACTAATGCTCTTTCAAGATTTTCATAAAACACATTTTTTATGTGAGCTGACTTTATGGAGCTCTTGGCAGATGATGGTATAGAATAACCATGTCATCTTCAGCATGGCGAGAACTCTTTTGCCCAAGTGGAAATGGGGGAGTTTGAGCCAACAAGAGCTCTGCTGCTGCTAATATAGTGGTGCTAGATTTATTTGCTAATTTTGCAAGTTTTGGCAATGTTTTAGGTGTTGTGTATGATAGTAATTTGGCAAATCATCCTATGGGCGCAAGTCAGAATCAAATAGTCAGACAGGATGATGGTACACCGTCATGGTTCTCCTCTCAGTTGTGGGCCTTTGTGGATTCTATACCTACCACTCCTGCTGCAGCTGCTGAAAGTCCTCTGGTTAATGGGGCTTTCAAGCGCATGTCTAGCTTTAGTAAGTTGAGAATAAACGCCAGGAACATGAATGTTGTGGCAGGTAATACTGTAACTTCAAGCAGTTCGGGCAACTCTAAGAATGGGGTTTTTTATTTTTCTTTTCTTGGAATACTTTGTGCAATCTTATGTGTGTTAGTAGGAACATTTGTTAAAGTCTTTGGGAGATACATATCCTCTTAAATATGCGAAGAATTTTGGTGTTCTATCATCTGCTATCTTGCCAGAATCAATGAGAAGCTGAGCATATATCTTCAAGTAATGCAAAATCTACTTAGAAGTATGATGTAATTCCCCCCTTCCCTTAGTGCCCGCCCACTGACCTCCTCAAAGTAAAAGAAATTGAAAAAAGAACAAAGAAACGTTCACTTAATTGAAAACAAGACTAAATAGAAAGTTGTCACTAGCAATTTTGACTGAACTTCCGAGATTATGTCATAAGCAATTTTTACAAAAATTTCCGCTTGGGGAGTTATGCTTTGCAGGGATGCATATCATTGGATGTAATTCAGTGAGTCCAAGTTGATTGCTGACGTGGAAGGTCCTATGTGGCTTAAATTTTGATTGTCTCTAGTTTCTTGTTTGTAGGTTGGGATGGTATATACCATTTTCCCACCTCCTTCAGCCCCTGAGTTTGGGGAAGGACCGGGGGAAGTATAGGTTTATTTATTCGGTCAGGTAAGTTTGGTTTGGAATGTATTTTCTTGGCTGTGATAAATATGAGTGACAAATGTCTTGGGAGGAGATTGATTTTAACTTGTCCTGAGTATGCAGCATAATTTATACTCAGCTTGTGTGTCAAGTTACGACCTGCCACTTTAGTTGGTAAATATTCTCGCAATATTGTTTGTGTTTCAGCTCATAGTGTTTTACTGCTCCATATAATGTTCAATTGGATCATGGTCTTTGTCATATGGCCCTAAATTGGAGAAGTGACTATTTTAGCTGGGGTTGGTTTGAACTTCTGAGTTTTGGAGGAACTAGAGTGTCAGTCAATGTTGTTTGGCTGTCAAAGTTTAGTGTTTAACTTTTGTGTTTGTCGCTGTCGTCGTTAATGTCTAATTAGAGTGTCGTGGCTATTCATATGATAACACTAGGATTTGTGAGCCGCTAAGTTTTTTTTTTTTTTTTTTTTTTTTTTTTTTTTTTTTTTTTTTGCTGTTCATTGATGGGGAATTGGGTCTGTTGAGGGCATGTTTGTGTAAATTCTCAACAGATATATGAAATCTATGACCACCAAAATTTGGACTGAGTCCGGAACCAAAATGTAGTTCTTTTGGACTCAAAGTACACAAATAGGTGGTAAAAAAAAATTACATTTTTATATATAGCGCCATAATACCTGACGCTATACAGTAACGGCACCGTTAATGTATAGCGCCAAGTATTGTGGCGCTATAGTGTAAAATTTGATACGCCCAGGTATAACGCCACAATACCTGGCGCTATGCATACATCATTAATGTATAGCGCCATGTATAGTTGCGCTATACTTTTTTTTCCTGGCCCCACCAATAATTCCTGACTTCAATAATTCAAAAGCGTATAGTGCCAGCTTTTTGGGCGCTATATATATATATATATNATTCAAATTTTTTTTAACTCTTGTTGAAACATTTATTGTTTTTAAATTTTCCAGCATTTTTTTATTATTTCTGAAAAGCGTAGAATAAGAGTTTCATTATATTGGGGGAGGGTGAGGTTGTGATGGAGAATAACTTCGTGGGCTGTACAATAGAGTACGATAAATTGATATCGTTGTTATGCAAAAAACTGAGTGTGAGGAAACGTTCGGTGATACTTAAAGTAACCGGAAGATATCCGTATTCCGTCACTCCGTAAGGGGTTGCTTTTTACTCGGAGTTTAACATCGACGATGATGGAACTTTGAGTGATTTTCTGAGGACTTCGAACGAATGCCGGGAATTTTTTTATAATCACAATGTTGGAGATGTACGTGAAGGTCGAAGACGTTCCAAAAAACGAGGTTGTGCGTAGCAGTGATAACCCCCAGTCATCGGGTGGTTATTCTGGAGCAGTTTTTGCCGGACAGGTTCCGGATAAAAGAGTTTTCCTTGATTTAAACTTATCACTGCTGGCGAATGAGCATCGAGAAAATAATTTATACACTGTTTTTCATAATTCACAAGACGAGTGGTAAACTTCAATTTTCATTTGTGTTAATTATGAATATTTTTGGCGTATTGAATTTGTATTAACGCTCATATATTTAATAGGGGTACCGGCCGAATATGAATTTTACAAGTGGCCCATCCGATAGTCATCACTTAATTGAAAACGTCCATCATGAAATTTCATCATATTACGACTTGTAAGTGAAGTGATATAGCCATATGGAAATCATTTATTAATTCAGTAGCTTATATTTTTGTTGGTTGTGCAGTGAAAACGAGCAAGTTGAACCACCCGTACTCACTCAATTGACCGAAAATGACATATTACATCGGGATCTGGCAGATGCACAGAGTGAGGAACGGAACAGTGATTACGATAACAATGCCGATGAATCCGGAGATGAGACACCCTTT